AAATATTTTTGTAATTTGTCGTTACTGGATCGTGGATCGTAGATTACTCATGGATGTGATACTCGGATTCCCTTCACCGCTTAGGTTCTTTCACGTCTCACATCCCAAGACGGGAGTGGTTCGTACTCAGGAATCTCCTTTTTCGAACATGCTGGGTTATGCGAGAGGAGAAAAATTGTAGTCCTACACGGTCGTTTTCGAGCCGGCGTCACCCGTCGCGAGAGCCATGAGCATTACCAATCGAACCACCGACTCAATTCCACATATGCGGGAGTAAATCGGTCGGAGCTGCCTCAGATTTCGCCGCAGTCTGACAAAAAATTAGGCTTGGAACTTTCCAAAGGTTCAAGCTTTTCGATACCCGCTTCGTTCGGATCCTATCGGCGAACGATGAGGAGCTTCCCGACAAACAAACAAGCAAACAAAGGTATTAATATACATGGTGGCCCAAAATATTGTTACCACTGTAATAGGAAAATATATTTATGGTAGTTTCAAATTCAAATTCAATTGCAATGTCATCGTAATTACGAGATACGAGGGGCGATCCAAAAATTTCTGCACTAAGGTAGTAGGAATGATCGGAGAAAACTGAAATTTGGTTCCTATATTCATACATCCTCTTCAGTTATTTAATAGGCTAACAATCGGTTTAAGGTGCTTTTAGTAATAATTTACATGTAAGACACGTTTCAGTCACTAAAAATATCAGTTTCAAATAGTAACATTTTGAATGCAGAGCAATTTTTTTAGTTGTATTTAGAATATTCATATGATATACATGTAATCATCCCGATAAAACAGCTCATTCAATAACAAAAATGTAAAGCAAAACTTCCTATGAAGCAACCATGAAGGTGAAACTGACAATCATGTCTCTTCGATGAAGCCATTTCAGCATTTTTAGTTGACGGTGGAAAATGAAAATTTCCCAATAAATTTGAAGCACTGGTCCAACAATCGGACTAGCATTCATGTCCAGGGAGGTAATGCTGAAAAATAAAATTTGTTCAAACAGTCTTTCACATTTCCTTATACCTCAGGGCAGAAACTTTTGGATCACCCCACGTATGGTTACGTTCTCGTTTCCATATACATTAATGCGTGTAATTTCATTCTGTATTATTGGTATTAAAGTAAGATCCGACATTCCGACATGCATTGTTTATTCCCAGTTAGTGGTAACATTTTTTGGACTACCCTGTATAAATGCAGGGACGCCTTTAACTTTATTTCCTGTTCATTTTCATCTCAATAATACAAAACAAAAGCCAAACCCAAAAACTCTGCGTATACTTTTCAAAATGTGTGAAATTTAATTTTTTCCAAAGCTTTCCTGCAGTACCATGATTCTCGAAAGAAAGCGGTAGAACGTTTTTATCTGGACCACGCTATTGTTCTTTCTACAGTATTCATAGCATGACGCAACCTGCACATTTTTTTCAAAGTGGCTGCCCACAATTATATTAGGATAACAACTAACTTCTATTCATTAGATATTACCTTTTTTGGTAAATGATGAATGAATTATTGCCATTTTATCATTTGCAAAGTTGTATGCATTGCGTTAACTGACTAAAAAAAAACCTGATCCCTCATTGTTATGCAATAACTTTGATCCCCATTGTAGATTCTATATTAAATAACTAGCGAGTTTGTTTACCCTTCGAGCAAATCAACCTTTAGTAGTCGCGCCTTCGACGCTCGACGATATGCAATTTAAGAAAATGATTAAAGGTGGATTTTTGAACAGAGCATTATCCAATAATGCAGCTTTATTTACCTGATTTATAATGATTTTCTCTTAAATAAAGCTGCATTATCGGATAGTGCTCTGTTCAAAAATCCACCCTAATTCATTTTAAACATCCGTTTTTGAGGCTCACATGTACCGACGTGGTAAAACTCCTTTTGTTATGGGCATTTATGATAGCACCACCAAGTTAGTTCTGGTTGTGTACGTTATTGTCAGCCAAATGATGGCATTGCACAAATGGAGATTCTTAGTTTTAATGTCCAAAAGGGCCCCCTTGAATTTTTTCTTCATCCAATGCTTTTTATGACACAACCGTAAGAATTGTTTTTCCTGAAGGGAAAAATTTTAAAGTTATCCATTCCCACCCCAAAAATTCTTCGAGGGTGCCGTACCTCAATCGTGCGGGTGTCATATTATTTTCCCTGAACTCAACATTCCGAAGACTGCATTTACCAAAATTCAAATTTATATATAGGGCGGTTAAAAAAAAAAACGCTATACCGTTTTCTATGGGAGAAACACAGTTTCATAAATGTAGCAACAAAAATTACATTGGATACGCAATCGATATTTGATAATTATAATGTGTTGAAATGTTTCCCAGCTTTTTTTCAGCACCCTTGCCTAAGTCGTGCAATGCCCATTTAGAGGTGAATTAAAGGTGCTTGGAGGTGGATCACCAGGTGGTGCCCACCCTCGGTCATCCGGTCAACAGCAGACCCCTCTATCGGGATACAGCGCCATCTTGCGGAAGGGAAAAAAACCCTTAGACTCACGAACCACTCTGTCAAGTATGAACTGAATCCAACTGTCCCTTGAAAAGTTAAAGTTGAAAAATTAATATAATTCTGAGACGGTCGAGCACAGGTAATCACGTCATTTGAGGTGGAATGATTCATCTCCACGCACCTTTAATTCACCTTTAAATGAGCATTGCACGACTTAGGCAAGGGTGCTGAAAAAAAGCTGGGAAGCATTTCAACATCTTGTAACTGTGAAATATCGATTGCGTATCCGATGTATTTTTTTTTTGTTGCTACATTTATATACCTTGTTTCTCCCATAGAAGACGGTAGAGCGTTTTTTTTTTTTAAACCACCCTATATTTTCACGTTTCACTGCAGCGAAAAAACATCGGAAAAACATACCTGCAGAAAATATACCCCCAGTGGATGTCCCCCAAAAGTGGAATGCTTCCAAAAATGATTCGGTCCAGCAGATATTTCCGTACCGTGTTTCAGCTTTCTAGAGCAGTCTGATTCGGTGTATCAAAAATATTTATTGGAAATGTCCCACTGTAAAACTTTGCAATCCTAGGGGATGTACCTCAAAAGTAGGATTTTTCTTGAAATAAACTTTCTTAGAACAAGGAATTTTCAGAATTTCAACTATCTATATCTCTGTTTCACTGGAACAGAAAAAGTTCTTGGAAAATGTATGCCCAAAGTGAACGTATTCTAAAAGTACAATTTGTTCTGAAACCTGCATCTCAACAGGTACCTATGTGCCAAGTCTCAGCTTTCTATGCCTCCGCTTTGTTGGAGCGAAACATTTTATAGAAATACGCCCCCCCCCCCAAAAAAAAAAAAGTGACTTGAGGGGATGTACCCCAAAACTAAGATTTTTCCTGAACTTAGCAACCCATTAGCTGCTTGTGTACCAAATTTCATGTTTATATCTTATCTAGAACACTGAAAATTTGCGTTAGTCACTCAGTCATTCAAGTCAGCCGTCTATATACTGTGTGAATTTTTTAATGTCACGTTTTAGATTTCGTTAATGTCACGTCTAAAATTTAGCAAAGGAGAAGCAGATTTTCCTATGCTTTCTCTTTATCATAGGCGAATTGTCTGACAATTTCAATATGACTGCCTTCATGAATATTCCCATTGGCACCTGCATCGCTGAGCAATTTTGGTGGAATAATTTCATTCTTTTGAACTGAAAGTGAGAATGAAGAAGAAACCAGACGGGAGGAAAGGGGAAAAAAGAGACCCAGTCATTCCAAGCCTCTGGAAGATTGCGAGAAGTTGGCGATATCCATGGAACAGATTCATGTGATGAATAATTAACAACGGATCACTGATAAGTAACTGGTGCATGAAACTTGTCCTGAATATTCACATTTTTATGACCATTCTTTGAGGAAGAGTTGATTTGAAATCTGTTGATGTATTTGTTGGTAAATTATTATTTTTAACTGGAAAGAAGTTGTGAAAGACTGGTTGGAAAAAGTTCCAGCAGCGCAGATACGGAAAAGGGTGTATGTGCATTAACACTTTCTACCTGTATCCCAGCATTCTCAGATCAAGAAATTTGCTAAAGCCCCGAGTTCAGTTGAAAAAATGTCTAGGATACCATGTGACTGAAAGTTAAGTTTTGACCAGCTGCAGATTAGCTATGGGAAGTTTTTGCCGTTTATCTCTAGTTGGATCCTTGGCACATACGTTCTTTTTACAGAGAACTCTTCAATTATTAGACAGTAGTATAGTTATATTCTGATATTTTTTACCTTTGAAACTCATCCATCGACTTCGGGGGGAAAAGAATCGTATGCAACACTAAAATACAAATGATCCGTGTATAATATGATTTCTCACTAAAAGCGACAGGGTTCTCTCTCCCACGAACTTCCACGTGAAAACATGCTTGTGCATACGTACGAGTATACCTTCTCAGTCTCATGTGCGCGATTTTTCTCTTCCCTCCACGAATGACGGATGATTTCATGTGTTGCCTTTTAAAAGAAGTGTATTCTCTTGGCGTGTTCGAAGCTTTTGTCCAGAGAGTGTTGGTCTGCATATTTAAGACTATTCTTGTTGTCTCAATGGCGATTATACGAACTCAGGAATACTGTAATACAGTGCATAAATAGAGGATACATTCTTGAAGTGCGCGTTTTTTCGACGCACTGGATAAAAAAATTCCTCGAGGCTTGGGAATGTCGGAATTGGAGCTTCCGGGTGTCTACCAAATACGGTTATACCGTAACGTGGGAGCGAAAGGAAAGATGATTATGGTGTGGGGTCTTTATTGTGAGGTAGAGAGAAGGTCATTGCCAAAATGAAAAGCCAAGAGCCTGAGGGACCACGCCCTCCCTTCCCTTGGCCTTGCAAAAGGGACTCAAAATGCATCCGCCTTCTCTTCCCTATAAATTCCCCTTTTCCTTCTCCTCGATCACCATTCATTTACTTGCGGTAGTCAGTGTGGATCTGATCCCTCTGAGACCTTCTCAAGCCCAATCATGATCGCCAAGATCCTTGTGAGTTCCCCTGTCCCTTCGTATGCCCATCTTCCCCGCTATTTAGAAGACTGCAACGTTTCAGGTTTTGTAGCATGTCGTATTTTACATTCAATTAAAGTGTAATATCTAAATCCCAAATCGGCGATAAGGTAGAGGAAACTGGGTTACAGTAAGACTGGATTTTTTGCTGCCTAAAACTAATTGGAGTTGCGTATAAATCTAATGACTGAGCCATGTTATCACCCTTTACATCTTTAAGTTCATTTGCTATCGCCAAATAGAAACAGTCATTGAAATTCGAGAATGCTGTGCCTCATCTAAGTTTTTTGCAATTGTTTCAGACCAAAAATATGTTGCTTGATTCGCAAAATTCATTTCATGTGCTATGCTTGAGTCCTATTCTAGATTATTCTTAGTTTGATTTTTTTTTTTGCCTGATTGAATGATTCACGGCCTAGAATAATGGAATTTCCAAAGTGGTGGTTTGAGGTACAGTGGGACAGTTGGTCATGATATAGACTGGCGTATACCAAGATTTTTCCACTGTAACTGTTACTTTTATTGAAAGTTTTTAATTGTTTCGGGCTCTAAAAAAAAAAAAACCTCTGAAATATTGCAAAATTATAATGCAAGATCGCGAGCATTCCCTTTGTATTGGACGTTCCTGCTATTATGTTATGGTATACATTTATGATCCTCGTTAAAGTAATTAAGAGGGTGAGATTATTTCATTCCATGCTGAATTTAAGCAGAAATGTATAAAATTGAAAATGGCTTTTTTGGTGCTTTTGTTAAAAGAAGGGAGGAGCACAGTGACATATCTCGACTGTAATTGAAGTACCGACATTCAGTAGAAAACTCCCATTGAATGAAGAGAACCTTGACATTTTTTGCAATCTAGAATGTCCTTTAATAATTGAACTACTTAGATTCCCAATAATGTTCCTCTTACATTGTGAACATTTCCCGATCATTTCTAAAAGTTGTTGCATTGTACTCCAGTCTCCCGTACTCGTGGGATTCAAACTTTTCTTCAACTTTTGATAGTTATACGCACTTGGCAAACCCTCATCCCTGGAGCAGCTTTCTACCCGAAATGAAAGACAGGTCATTCAAGTTGAAGTAAGTGACTAATCCATCAAAGCCGTGTCTTTGATATTCCAACTGGGAGGGATTAACCACCAAGTGTGTTGAGCAGGGGCTTAGCGAGCTAAGTCAGAGGAATCCGAGAGGAGGAGAAGGGAAAGAACACCCTAAGTTCTCCCTTCACCCGTCCCTGCATATCATAGACTCATTCTCGTACGTACTTATGCTGTACAGTGCAGCCAGCTTTGGGCACTTTCATCAGTCCAATGGAACTCGAATCGAATGTGAAGGCCTAAATCATCCTTAGAAACAGAAAAATAGAAACCATAGGATTTGGCTTGTGTACATGCCAACCAGGTCTTAGGAAGATGTAGGTCTGAAGTTGAAGACCTACTATACTTTTTATTTCAAGTTTTAAGCTCCCTACAAAGTCATTCATTACCAATCATTACCAATCTTCAAATCATCAGCGCCGTCATACACATAACTAATCCACAAGGCATTAATGGGCGGTCTCTGTGCTTTGAAAATAGGTTCTCCTGTGCGTGGTGGCGTTGGGAAGCTGTGGCTACCCTCTTGGTGTTGATGAGGCCAAGGTGAGCGTGCACCAGGATGACCAGCATTTCGCCTATCGAGTCGATGAGACCAACGTGAAGAAGCATGCCTACGTCCACCCTGTTGCATACGCCGACCATGCTCCTTTCGTCCACGGCGCACCTTACGGCTATGGCGTCGGTCATGTCAAGTCAGTCTTCGCTCATGCTTTGCTCCTTCCTAGCTAAGGATAATTTTTCATCGATCTATAATCGAGTAATCGAGTTTTCACGCGGAACGGATACTGAAGCAGCGTATCTTTCTTGAAAGATATTTGTTCAATCGAATGCATCAGAGCCGAACTTACCCAAGTGCATTTTTCCCTTTTCACTAAACGAAGTCTCACAGAAAAATACTCTGTACGTGTCTTTCTCGACCGTAGTTCAGTGATAGTCTTAAAGACGAAACATAAAAGCAATCAATCAATCAATCTGCAATCGTCCGAAGAAACAACGGACTGCTTCCTTTTTGACTAACCATATACCATACGAAGTACGAAAAATTTGCTTATTTCAACGAAATGCCACTTGCATAAGTCTAGCTCTGAATCATCAAATGCAGCTAACCTATTCGGAGAAATCTGAAGGAAATATTTGATCTTGTATTCTCTGTACCGACGACTTCATGGTCCGATCAAGTGATTTCCTACTATTGTGTGTTCCACAGGTCCTACGGTTACGCTGCCCCAGCACCTATTGTTCATGGTTACCATCACTATCGTGCACCTTACGCCTTCTCATATGGATACGGTGGAGTGACTCCCGCCATCCGTGGTCTCGGTTATCATCACGGTTACATTCATTAAAGTATGGTCTCTTGTGCCATTCCCGACACCACTGGGCTTTCACCTTTCAAATAAACAGTATTTTCTTCATTCTTCCTTCCGTTTCATTTCTTTCCCCATTTGTTTCCTGATGACACTGTCCACTTGGACAATAAATACCAGTTGAAAAGGTTTGTGCTCTGTCAATAAATACGATGGCAAGAGTGATCAGAAAGGCCGACGGTTTCAGTTGCGCCTCTTGAGCAGTTCCTGGAGGAGGGCATCCAATAGGTCGTTCCTGCCCCCCTCCGAATCTTCCTGGTCCCCGTCCGCGGCAGTCTCCGCAGGAAAGGAAGACGAAGAAGAGATGAGTGGATTCTTCTGAACCGTTCCCAGATGCGTTTTTTCGTCTGTATCCTCGTCAGGGTCCGCGATCGGCAATTTCCCTGTGAATCCTTCTAAGAATAAGCTACGATCTTTCTCTTCCTCTCCATTTTCCATATCCTTGCCTTCGTTCTCCGTCACGACACCGGGATAGATGGGCTGGTAAAAGAACGGCCGATAGGAGGGAAATCCCGCGAATGCAACTCCCGGAGGGTTCAGGCCATAATACCCAGGTCCATACAACAAGGGATAATAACTCAACGGTCCGTAGTACACAGGATTCATATTGACAGGGTTGAGGTGGGTTCGAGTGGGGCGGAATCGTCGAGTAGAACTTGAGCGAGAGATCAAGGGAGTAGGGACGATCCCACCGAATGTCGGTCGACGAGGGGCATCTGGAAAACTCCCCGTCAACGGATGTTTGCCTTTATTATCCCCTTCATCTAGCGAAATCTTCCCTCGTCGAATGAGATCCAGGATCTTGTCGGCGATCGGCGTCTCCTCAAAGGGGACTGGAGTGGGTTTAGGGCCCGTTAGGGAGGAAAGCTGAGCTCGTTGTCGAGCCAGGAGACCCAGGGGTCGAGTCAAAGGGCGTGGCTGAGGACCCGACACCGGGATCACGTGATCCGATCTTCCACCGTCTGAGGAAACGGGCGCAACCCTCTCCCTCTCTCTTCTTTCCGTCTCCCTTTCCCCTTCTCTTTCCTTTTCCTGGGAATCCTCCACCCCTAGGCTTGGGGGGGTGGTCGTGGAATTTGGCGTGGTCCTCGTCGTGGTTCCCGTTGTCGTTCTAGTCATCGAGGCTCCGTGATCTTCACCTATAGTGACTTCAGTAGAGGAAGGCAAGGGCAAAGTGGAAGAGGAGGACAAGGGAAAGGCAGGAGAGGAAGACAGAGGTGAGGGCATGGGGAAGGGGTCGCCACTCTGTCGTCCATGGAAGTAATTGTAGACCTGGGAGGATTCTCCATCATCCACGATATATCCCCCATGAGTGTTCCCAAGAAGGTCTCGCACTTCACTCCGGGATACTGAGGGATTGGAATAACCGAAGGAATAACCCGAGATCGTTTTCTCATCCTCCTCCTCCTTTATGTATCGACCCCTGAGGCCGAGGGCAGAGACCAGCATCTTCCTTCTCGTCCACGGTTGGCCTGACCTCACTCCTTCTTGACCTGGACTGTCATTTCTTCTCTCTCCTTCCACCAGCACCGACGTGAGGAGTATAACACACGTCTAGACATACACAGAAACAGATTCATAAGAGCTATCTCGAATTTAGGGATGAAAAATTCAACATAACGAAATTTTAGTTCCTCTAAGGCTAGAACATTGCAGTACATGCATTGGCGCAACTAAAGGGGGGGAGGGGTTCGAAGCCGCTTAGAATGGCAGAAGCCCCCCAGAAGGCTCATAAGGGTGGGGAGGGTTGGGAGTGCCTCCTCGATGATATACAGGGTGATCTAAAAGTACCTAGTGAACACTTGTGTTTTATTTGTTTTTCTTCAGATTTATCATTCAGTTTTTAATGAGTGAATCAGGAAAAAATTAAATTAAATTAACGCACGAGTTTCCCAGGTGTTTTTAGATAATCCTTTACATATATAATTTCCGCAAACATGTTTCCGTACCCAATAAAGTTTCAGATCAGAACACTCTCTCCCTCCCCTCCCCCAATGAAAGGCCACGATCCAAGAATCCTTCTTATGAAGGCGGAAGGTGGGTACCCAGCTTAAAATCCTGGCTGGAAACAGCTGTAATTCCCCAGCTGGGATCCAGCTGGATCCCAGCTGTAAATTGGGACCCATTCCAACTGGGTAGCAGCTGGAAAGTAGTCAGATCCAAATTGGTTTTTAGTTGCTAAATCACTAGCTGAATGAGAATCTTTTTCTTGAATATTTTTGTCGAAGGTTCACATACAGAAATATCTGAACTACAGTTGTAAATTCAGCTGTAGGGTCCTCTGTATGAAATTCTAACTGGAAATTTCTAGCTGGAAACAGCTATTAAAACCAGCTGCATTCCAGTTGGAAAATTCCAGCTATAAACCAACCGGTATCTTCAATTTTCCAGCTCTTTGCCAGCTGGAAATGGTCCAAATTTACAGATTTAGTCCAGCTGGAATATTCCAGTTGGGATTTTAAACTGGGTAGCAGGTGCGAATGAAACCCCTCCCCCAAAACTCAAGTATAGCTTCGCCACTGCGTCCATCGCAATCGCGTATAAGGCTAACATTGGTCCAATTGCGCAATGATTTAGTATTGGCAGCGTTACTCTGCTCTAGGGAGACGCATTCTTCGTTTGCCTTTGTGACCCTGACTGGTAATCGATTGGATGGGGTCGACGGGTATCCACACGGCCACGCTTGGGATGTCATCCGATCCTGTCTGTGGCCTTCATGGATTTTCCTTCGGTGAGTCTAGGTGTGATGGTTTGGCATGTGTGCTCACAGCTCGGTATACAATTGTGTTGTAAGGAACAGTAACAGCTCGTGTTTCATATGCAAGATCTTTAAGGTCTTTCAATCTGACGAGGAGGCGAACCCCGCCCCGTCCAGCCAAGTAACCAATGCTGTCTGGGTTAACGAAGAAGGCCATCTTCCTTCCGGAAAACGCCCTTGCATGCCAACTTAGACAGTGAAGGATGGCTTGCTTATGCCATGCCGTTTTGCTTTCATCCCTCGCTTTGATTGTGGCCGTTGACGGTGAAATACCAATCGGAGCGTGGGATACCGTGTTTGAGTTGCGATTATCTTGCACAACGGTTAAATCCCTATCACCCTTCCCTTCTCATTCTTGTATCTTCAGCTCTTCTCCCTCCGTGTGTGCATTTTCCGACCTCTTTCCTAAGCCGATCCGACAGATATTCTGAATTGCAGGATTATGAATGAAAATATTATTCTTTCTTTTTTTTTTCCCCCCCCCCCCCCCCCCACCTCCTTTCTTATTTCTCTTTAATCCTACTTCCCTTGAGGATTTGCTCCCTTGTAGATGTGCTGGAACATAGACCAATCTATTGGAATCTTTGCTCAACAGTTTCACATGATAGGAATTCAGTTTTATTTTCCTAAACTGTAGTGAAACCTAGACATGGAGGGAAAAATCGAGAACTGTTTTACAGCAAATTGTATATTTATTATTTATCATCAGAAACCCTGCATCAGATAACTAATAATAATAAATCTAAAGCTCTGGTGACTTTAAAACTTTTAGACCGTCTCCCTTGCCGATGGGTTACCTTAACGAAAGTTTTTAACGACTAAAGTCACGCAACCACGTTCTGGAAAGTCTTATTAGTGTAGTTCTAGTTTGAATAATATTTTCATTCATAATCCTGCAATTCAGAATATCTGTCGGATCGGCTTAGGAAAGAGGTCGGAAAATGCACACACGGAGGGAGAAGAGCTGAAGATACAAGAATGAGAAGGGAAAAAATCAGAAATTCTCTTTACCCCAACGACGAGGAAAAGAGACTGATTCACTAGTGTAATTCCTTGGGTGAAGAGGATGGGATGTGTTTGCTGATATACGAGTAGTCTTTCCTGTTTTACTTGGAGGTGAAATACGAGCTGGCGTGCTTTTCATCCGGGAGAGGGGTGAAGAAAGGATGCAAATGTGCTACATGAAAACGAACACGAGAAGAGGAATGATACTCAATCGCCCACGATACATTGTATGGTATCAGGCGCAGTGGGCTTGAAGCCCCATGCATGCGTCCTGAGAGCGGAACTTCATGTAACAAGCAGTGGCGTGGCTAGGATTTCGCCAATGGGGGTGCTAAGCGGAACGGTGGGGTGGGCTTACTTCTCCTTGCCCGGAGGGCGGATGGGGGTGGAGGATGCATTTAGACCGGAGTTGGGGGGGCTTGAACCAAACTTTGGGGGGGCTGAAGCCTCGCCAGCCCCCCCCCCCTCCCCTCTCGCTACGCCACTGGTCGAAAGAACGGATCGTCGTACTTGTACCGACAAGGCTCTTGCTTAAAGACGAGGATAATAGCTAAGTAAAGAAATGCGTAGAGGGATAAGGAACCGGATTTCCGCATGAAATCCGATTCCCCATTCCCATCCGGACGGCTATGAACTGAGAGAGGGAAGGATGGGAATGGGTTGTGGTCATTCTTCACGTTTCAGTGAGCGGCACCATTACTCGTGCAAGCCAGACTCTTCGCATGAGTGGCATTAGAACTCGTTTAAGCAGCTACACGTTGAGAAAAGCTACGGTAGGTAAGATATCTGCTCACAGTAGAGAGACAGAATGACGTAAAAACAGCATGGCAAAGTGAGCTGCGAAGCTGTAAGTGTAAGTGGATGTGTAATAATCACAAGAGGGGTTAACAATTTAAATCTAGAACTTCGTTGCTAATTTGTGAACAGCGATTGACGACGGGTGTCTTAGGAACTTTGTCTAGGGAATCTACCAGTGTCTTGCTCGAACTGAGAAGTCATCGTATGAATTCGTCTCAATTCCCTCGTGACAAGGAGAGTGTGACGATCAGTGGCGGCGACTAAACTGCATTTCGACCAAAGGTGACCAAAGGTGACATGCGACTTCACGTCTGCAACGAATCGTCCGCGACCTGTTGTCCCACGACGAAAATGCCAAGAACCTGAAATATATGCTTACCTCCTTTGACCGCTGAAAATACCATAGCATTCGGCTTTTCTGCATCTGTCTCCGCGTGAGTTTGCTCGTCTCGGGGTTTTGCTCCCTAGGAGTTTACTCATTTTTAGCATGAAAAATTGTCTCCACGGAGGGATCCGAGTCTCCCTTAAGAGCCAGATCTGACGTAAATTCAGCCAAAAATGAGATGATATAATGTGAATCCAAAGAAAGTCTATGGACGAACGGCCTAAGGCCTAAAGCCGCATCTACTTTGTCTACGTTCTGTCTGACAGCCTAACGGTTCTTAGTGCTACGTTTGTCGGTCCCATCAACTAGCGTGGAAGGAAGAGATACGTAAGATGTAACGATAGTGAAAGTATGACCGTTAAATAACAGCAACGCCATCTTGGCTGCTTTACCTGAAAGATTCTATACTTGGCATTTCGTTCAACGACGAACTGACAATGACGCCACCTGTCAATGACGATATCTCCCTTATCTTTTGAGATTTCTTTCATCATCAGGTTCATCAACCGTCTTCGCATCCAATATAATATTAACCATCGTAATCATAATCTTCTCACGACAATGGTGCGATTGGGGCAACATACCTAAGTTGCAGTTTTGGATTAAGATTTTCCAGTATATTAAATACTTGCTTTTATTTTTTTATTATCGTGACGAGATGGACGACCGTGGATGGTTGAGGCAGCAGCAGCTGGACAGATGCTAAAAGTTTAGGCTGCTAAGTTCACTTCTCTTCTGCTCCAAGATCGTTTCTGCACGCTCAAGGCGCAACCCATGACGTAAAAACTGATCGAAATTAATTGTACGGCGAGAAAATAGATAGGCTTCAGAGATTAAGGTTGGGCCTTGAGGAGGATGGCATATATACGATATGTAACAGATCGGGGGGTCTGTCAGATGTTTTGATTTATATTAGAATGGGAAGGAGGAGAGGAGAGATGAAGAGAGGCGATAGCCGATGCGGGCCGTCGAATCCGGGTCAAAAACTCCCTCTCCCTATCACTTGAATATTCAATGAGAATGTGACGTCCATTCACCATTCGCGTATCTCTCTCATCGTGACCTTGGCAGGAACGAGTCCATTCCAGGATTTGTAGTTTGGGGCTCGCTAGAAATTGAACTCCACAGCCACCATGCACTATCTCTATCTACAGTCGATCGGAATGAGATATTCCTGAATTTGGGACTTCATAGAGAATACGCCTGGCGTATGACTTGAGTCTCTATAACGTTTCTTCAACGTGGAATTGTTTTTATCTGCATTAAAATTTTATTGACAAGACTCAACAGGCTGCACTTTTATCTGAAATTCAGAGGCCCTAAAAACGTTAGCAATCGAACTTAATTAGTGTTGTATTGATATATGCTGTACCTTTGGCTTGAAAGTCCCCTCCATGTAATACCATGCGGTCAAAGGCAGCAATTACTTTTATTAAGTAATTTTAAACATGCTATGTTTTCTTGATGTCAGTATGTGTTACATTCCTTCTGGTTAAGATTCTCGCATGATATCTACTACTCCATTTCAATCCAGCCATTTCCTTCCTGCTATTGAAGTTTTCAAAAATACAATAGTGATGATATACAGCGTTGTGTGGCAGATAAGCAGTGCTTTAATTTATTCTCTTACACTTTGAAGCACATTCTCTTCTTACCCCAGATCAACCAAATTCCTGTCTTGACTTTCTGTGTTTAGTCATTCGCCTGGAGGATAGCCTGAATCGAGTGATACTCAAGATTTTCATGATATTCGATTGACCGTTGAATGTCTGCCGACTTCGTATCTCAGTGAACTGAAAAGGGGAGTTTAGCTAGGCAGACACCAGGGACTGTCTTCATGTCTTTTCTTTCCTGATCAGTTGCGTGTTGGAACAGTGAGACATTCATCACTGCCATGGTTGGGTCATTGTCATCACTTAAAATCCGGTAAGTCTTGCTGCAAAATGTGTCTGGACTTTACGAAGCTGACCCGATCGTTCCTACCTCTTCCTTTGTTCCCAGCACCCAGATGGTAATGTAGAAAGTTCTTCGCCTCATACATTGTAACGAATGAATACAACTTCTGCAGGTCCCTGAAATAAATAATGAGAAGGGTACTAAACAGCATCCAGTCGGATACATAACGATCGGAATGAACGAATTTGCAATTGTGTTTATGCTTTCCAAACAGTTTTAGCTATTCCCCTTCTCTCTAGAATCCTGAATCTTTCCCGACAAAGCAAAGCAAAGTAGTATTATACAGTACCATACAGAATACTATACTGTAATATACAGACTTTTTTATGTGTATTATTAAAGTTCTGCGAGTTATTTTTGTCTGTGGCAAATAGCTTGCTGAGGCCTGAGAGAGACCTTTTATTAAAAGTAATAGGGCCTTATTTTATTGCAACCCAGAGATAATCGGTTTGCATTCCTGGAAGTGAGAAATGGGCGTCCGAATGCGTCTGTGGGATTTACACAATGGGAACAGGGATGGGGAAATCTGAGGTGGGCGTCCATCCCAGGCTGCCGGGATGGATTATCTTGCATAACACTGCAATTCAATTCTTGGGAAACACTTTATCTGATGTTCGATCTCATCTAGGAGTCCGCTTATTACGGCACGCAGAAAGGCTTTAGATCTCGCTTAACATTGCTTTCCATTGACTGCATGACAAAAATGTTAGTGATACATTGGTGTTCCGTATGTGAGGATCCCAATGACATGGTATCTTTCGATAAATGTGTCATATCCCTTCTCTCATGTCCGATAGCACCCATCCAAATGGACATCCATCGCATGTGGAACGTAGGTCTGGATTCTTTCTTTCTTGGAATATCATGTGGGAGTTCCGCGGCTATCTCAGGAATTCACTCAATTCACCCTTCTTCTGGAATCTGGAACCTCCCCTATGTGAGGGGAGGTTCCAGATTCCTAACTTACATCCTACACTGCAGAAAAATTTGGCTTCCAGGAACACCTGAAAGCA